GATGTTTTGAAGAGATGGTTTTCTAGCTGCAAATTCTTTTAACTTTTGTTTATCGTGGAAGGTTTTAATTTCATCTTCCATCCTGAAGCTTAATTTCTCTGGAAACACAATTCTTGGTTGGAACCCATTTTCTTTCAGTGTTTGAAATATGTTATTCCAGGATCTTCTAGCTTTCAGAGTCTGTGTTGAAAGATCAGCTGTTATCCTGATTGGCTTACCCCTAAATGTGATCTGCTTCCTTTCTCTTGTAGCTTTTAAAATTCTCTCCTTATTCTGTATGTTGGGCATCTTCATTATAATGTGTCTAGGTGTGGGTCTCTTATGATTTTGCACATTCGGCGTCCTGTAGGCTTCTAGGATTTGGGGTTCTGTCTCATTCTTCAAATCTGGGAAGTTTTCTCGAATTATTTCATTGAATAGATTGCTCATTCCTTTGGTTTGAAACTCTGTTCCTTCCTGTATCCCAATGACTCTTAAATTTGGTCTCTTGATGTTATCCCATATTTCTTGGATGTTCTGCTCATGGTTTCTTAACAGTCTTGCTGAGCTGTCTATGTTCTTTTCAAGTTGAAATACTTTATCTTCATTATCTGATGTTCTGTCTTCTAAGTGTTCTACTCTGCTGGTAGTATTCTCAATTGAGTTTTTAAGTTGGCTTATTGCTTCCTGCATTTCTAGGATTTCTGTTTGTTTGTTTTTTATAACCTCTATTTCCCTGTATAGTTGATCTTTTGCTTCTTGGATTTGTTTATGTAATTCATTGTTGAAGTGATCTTTCATTGTCTGATTTTGCTGTCTGATGTCTTCCTTGAGACTCCAGATCATCTGAAGCATGTATATCCTGAATTCTTTATCTGACATTCCATCAGCTGCAGCTATTACCTCTTCTAAAGTTGAGTTGACCTGCAATGCTTGTGGTCCTTTCTTTCCTTGTCTCTTCATACTGTTCGCGTTCCTTTCTTCTTGGTGAAACTGTTGTGCTATTGAATTTTCCCCCTATATATTTATATTGGTCTTGTATAGTTGCAAAGTCTCCCTCGCAGGCACGGGCGGCGGCTCTGCCCCTCCTCCAATTGGGGCAATGTGCCTACCACGCCGGCAGGCCGCTGGGCCTGCTCTGCCAGTCGGTAGCAGGTCCGCCGTCCTTGCAGGCGCGGGCGGCGGCTCTGTCCCTCTGCGGGCCGCTAGGCTTGTTCTGTCGGTGGTCGCAGTTCTGCCTACTTTGCAGGCGCAGGCAGCGGCACTGCCCCTCTGCAGGCCTCTGGGGCTGTACTGCCAGTGGGTCGCAGGTCCGCCTACCTTGCAGGCGCGGCGGGGGGGCGGCTCTACCCTTCCTCAGGCCACTGGGCCTGTTCTGTCTCTCGGTTGCAGGTCTGACCTGTTCTGATGGTGGTCACAGTTCCATCTACCTTTCAGGCGCGGGGGGGAGGGGGCGGCTCTGCCTCTCAGCAGGCCGCTGCTCCTCTTCTGCCGGTGGGTCGCAGGCCCGCCTACCTTGCAGGAGTGATTGGAAGCTCTGCCCCTCCGCGGGCCACTGGGCCTTTTCTGTCGGTGGTCACAGTTCCCCTACCTGGCAGGCGCGGGGGGTGGGGGGCGGCTCTGCCCCTCAGCAGGCCGCTGGGCCTGCTCTGTGCGTGGTCATAGTTCCCTCTACCTTGCCGGTGCAGGGGGAGGGGGCGGCTCTGCCTCTCAGCAGGCCGCTGCTCCTCTTCTGCCGGTGGGTCGCAGGCCCGCCTACCTTGCAAGAGTGATTGGAAGCTCTGTCCCGCCGCGGGCCACTGGGCCTTTTCTGTCGGTGGTCACAGTTCCCCTACCTGGCAGGCGCGGGGGTCCAACTCCCTTCTTGGAGTTAAAATGCTCTTTCCTTTATGACACGATAGGGATAGTACTGTGTGTTTGCTTAATTGTTTAGGTTCTTATAGCAAAATAAAGTTGCAAATCCAGTGCTGGCTTCCAAATCTGTTGCTGAAATTTTTCTGTCCCATGGGATCCAAACATCTAGAACCATTGCTGAAAACCCGCAGCTGCAATTTCCAAAGTCTCAGCTTATGCCAAGACAGGAGGGTGAGGGTTTTTTTTCTTTTCTTTTTCTTCTTCTTTTTCACACACTACATAAACGCATTGAAGAAACATAAGGTAGATCTTAAAACTGTAAAGTCTGCTCTTCTTCACACTTCACTTCTGCTAAGTGAGTCTGGATGCTGAGTGCAGGCTCCTGGCAGGTTGGTCCAGGCCCAGCCATGGCCAGCCTGCAGGGCACTGTGGGAGACAGCATGGCATGTGACTGCCCTGCCTTTCTCCTGTGGCCAAAAGTTGCGAAGCGCTTGGTACATGTACCCGGAAGATTCTGTGCTGGACGTTATGTGGGCCAGCACCTACATCCACACAAAGCAAATGCCAGTGTGTGACCTCAGCATGCCAAGGTGTGCCAGCAGCCTTCTTCATTTCCATTTCCTTCACTCGAGCTTCATTCATGTCTAGCTGGCATTTGTTATTCATCAGGAGCAATTTGAAGAAGCAGAAGTAAACAAGCGTCTGTGGAACTGAGCACATGGACCTATTTAAGGGAAGGGAGGCTTATGACTTTTAACCTTAACATCCCCAGCCCTTTTTATTTTTTATTAGAGTCTCACAAGGTTGTTTATGGCCTCACTAAATTGCTGAGGCTGGGTTTAGACCTGCAATCCTTCTGCCTTGGCCTCCTGAGTTGCTGAGATTACAGGCATGCACCACCATGCCCATCTTAACAACTAACTTTTAAAATTATTTAATTCATGAATAATAATACATAGGAAGGTTGGTCCTTCTTTCTAAAATTAAAATTGTAAGACATGTTCTTTTGTCCCTGTACTTTTTCCAATCCAGTGTCCAACTCCAATTATCAGTGTTACTAATGGCTTGGTTTTCCTTCAAGGATTTTTTAATGAATGTTTTTGCCAAAAGAATATTCCTTTTTGGGGGGCTGGGATTGTGACTCAGAAGTAGAGCGCTCGCCTAGCATATGTGAGGCCCTGGGTTCCATCCTCAGCACCACATATAAATAAATAAAATAAAGGTATTGTGTCCACCTACAACTAAAAGAAAAATATTTTATTAAAAAATATTCCTTTTTATACAGATGGTGACATGTCATATACAATGTTATGCACTTTCACTTAACAATTTATCTTAGAGATTTTGCCTTGTCTGTACATAATAAGCATCCTCAATCTTTTAATGCTTGCATGATGCTCTGTTTTATAGCTAAATCAAAATTAATTTGGCTAGTCCTCCTCTTAGGGCATGTAGGTAGTATCTAAGCTTTTGCAGTTAAAAACAATGTTGTTAATGAATAACTGTACATTTGTGTTGCTCTGTACTAGTTAATCTGTAGGATCATTTATAGGTATGCATTTGTTGATAGAAGTGGTAAAAATGTCCTCTAGAGGATAAGTATCAATTTACATTCCCACTAATAATATTTCAGGGTATCATTTTCCTTGGAACTACACCCAAGTTTTGGATTTTCACCAGTCTTATGGGTTAAATGATCTCTCAGTGACATTTATTCTGTTATGAATAAGGAAGAATATTTTATGTTTGAGTCACATATATTCCATTTCTATGAAGTACCTGATCACATTTGGGGTATTTTTTAATCACTTTTGGTGCTTTGTTTTTTTGTTTGTTTTGTTTTGTTTTGTTTTGCAGTTTACTGGAGCTCTATATTGAAAGATTAACCCTTTGTGATATGAGTTGCAATTTTTTTCCCATTTTGTCAGTTCTTTTTTAACTACATGGGACTCATTCTTTACATGAAGAGTTTAACTCTGGGCTTTGCCCATTACCTTACAACCTCAATCATCTCAAGTGTGCTGAGGGCTCCCCGAACATGTCAGGCTCAGTACCATTCACATTTCCATTCACTTCATTAGCAGAGGTTCAGTACAGACCTCATGAACACAGTTTGTAAGTGGCAGAGATGGAACTTGAACCCAGGTCTCCCTAGAATAGAAAACCCAAGTATTCAGTCTGACCTAAAAGAGCCTTAATGTCCATCAAAGGAAAGTGGAATTCATAATGCAAAATCTACTAGAAGAGGTACAAACAAAAACAAAAAAAAATGGTGCTATATTATGAGCCTAGTGGCCTAAAGCTAGCTAGATTTAATTAGTTTGATTTTGGTTTTGAATGTTTTGTTTTTCATTTTTTAGTGATTCATTGGCTTTTTAAACCACTATCAGGATACTATCAGTAAAAAGTATAAAAGGGATGTACCCATAAGACTTTTGTTTTCTTTCTGAAGGAGAATTTTGAGTCCATGGGTAATCACTGATTGATTCTTTTTATCACTTTATATTATAAGTATTGTACAAAAAAATTTCAAACATGTGCCTGGAAGAAGAAAATATAACCATGCAGAAGGCAAAACTGGCTTCCCTGGATATATCAAATAGATAATTCCATTTGGAAATGGAAATCAGGTTTTCAAATTCCAAAAATATTTAAAGTCTCCTGTTGGAAAACCTGGATATGAGGAAAAGTTCAATTTAAGGTCCCATCCATTTCCAATGTGGTAGTTCTTTCTGGTCAGTAGGATATTTTAAGAATTATTTCACTTATTCCTTGTTACACAAATGCTTCTCCAATGTCTAAAATTCATGGGCCCCCCTCTCACAAAAAAAAAAAAAAAAAACATTTTTTGAAATTGCTCCATGCGCTAATCCTGGGTCTTATTAAAGATTCTAATGTGGTTTCACCTGGGAAGATGGGTTATTTTTTTTTCCCCTGGGATGAGATTGGGGGAGAATGAAGACCCTTCAGCTACAGCAGTGTAGCTAGCAGGGAAGACCTGTTTCTACCTGAGGGCCTTTGTGACAACAGCTTTGAGAGACCACTAGAAGAGGTGTCTTTTCTAATGATGAAATTGGCCCAAGACTAATAGAACTGAAATTTGAAGTCAAAATAATTTTGCTAATATTCTTTCTCTCTGCCTCCTTTTTAATATTTTTTAACTTTAGTGAAGGGAGCAATCTGACCCCTGCACATCACTACCCAGACTTCAGATTTAAGACATATGCTCCACTGGCCTTCCGATACTTCAGAGAACTTTTTGGTATCAAGCCTGATGATTACTTGGTAAGAACCTGTAATTTTCCTTCCTCCTACAGAAAGGCGTGATGTAAACATTTGTCTCATAGCAACAGTGACAAGTGTGCCATTTATGTTACAAAGCTTAAGAGTATGGGGGCTGGGGATATGGCTCAAATGGTAACACGCTCGCCTGGCATGCCCGGGGCACTGGGTTCGATCCTCAGCACCACATAAAAATAAAACAAAGATGGTGTGTCCACTGAAAACTAAAAAAATAAATAAATATTAAAGCTTAAGAGTATGGTAAAAGTTCCACGTTTCATAATGATTATAAATTTAAATTCAGGAAATAGGATTTGACTCTGCAGCTTTTCACCGATAGTTACAAAATCTGCTTTGGTAACTGATATTTAAATAACTGTGCTATATCAGTTATCACTTCAGATAATTATTCTCATAGATGTATTAGAATTCGTTTTAAAAGCTCTTGTAAATTTGGCTGATTAGATTCTATTTGAAACTTTTCCTATTTTAGTTGACTTTATATCATTCATCTCAAGACTGTGAGCCCATAACCACTTTCACCTTGACCAGAAAATTCAAATCCCATTTTAAAGAATCTGGACAGTTTTCTTCTCAACATTTCTTTGTGCAGGCTCTTCTTATTTTTTATGTTCTTGCGGGGAGGCAGTACTAGGGATTGAACCCGGGGGTATTTAACCACTGAGCTATGTCCCCAGCCCATTTTATTGTTTATTTTGAGACAGTCTCACTAAATTGCTTACGGCCTTGCTAAATTACTGAGGCTGGTTTTGAACTTGCAATCCCCCTGCCTCAGCCTCCCAAGTCGCTAAAATTATAGGTATACACCACTGCACCTGACATGCAGACTCTTTTTAAACATATTCTTACAAATACAAGTGCATATTTTGTCCTCAGGTTTGTCTCTTCTGTCTGTCTTCCTTCTGAGACAAGGGAGGTACAAACCCAATAGCCTGTTTGGGAGTTTGTCTGATATGACCTCTGAATTTTACTCCACTCCTGATCCAGGAGCCAGGAACTTCCTTTTTGTTGAAAGAAGGAAATGGTTTATTTCATTATTTGATCATTGTTAACACCCTGGGGCTCTTTAAGATGGGTTTTCAAGAATCTATAGGAAGGTCGCCAACTATTATTTATTCTTCATCCCATTCTGAATGATCTTAATAAGACTTAAGCCAGATCCTGGAATAATGCTTTTTGGAGGAATTAAGCAGCATTTGTCACTTATAACAAAGAATATTTAAAATGTATCTTTTAATAAGCAAAAGATGTAAAGAATAAAATTCAAAACTGATTCTGCTCTGTGTTAATGAAAACCATGAATGATCCTCTTCTTTAGTTGATCCCTAAGAAAATCATAGGATTTCTGCTCAGTGAGATGATACTGCTTCTTTAAGGCACACAAAAAAAATCTCTATAGAGCAGTGAGGACTGCATTGGACACCCCTGGGCATCCTGCTGCCCTTGGGTGTGTCTGTCCACATAGCTCTCCGCCTCACCTTCCCATCTTACTGAAACGTCAGGTACCCTGCCCATTGCTACCAACTCCAGAACACACGCACACCCATTTGTTCTGTGGGGGTATGATAGGGAAGATCCTTTGCTGTCTGGTCATTTGATGATTATCTTTAGGCAGCCATCATTCAGGAAACACGTTTGGGGAATACAGTGGGATTTTGATATTCTATTATGGGAAACAGGATTAATCTCTCACCTTGTACCATGCATTAGAAATGCATGAATTCTCCTCCTAAATTTCCTTGAACTTCTCTCCAGCCAGACACACCGTAGACTTTGCATTCTACACACTGCTGCAGTCAGTGCAGCACATGACTGCTTGTCCTCAGTCCTGCTGTGTTCATTGCTGTGCAGGTGGAAGGTCATTCTTTCACTCATTCTGACCTCACAACATCACTTTCTTGGAGAAGGTCCTTTTTTGAACAACTTATCACACAGCTTATATAAGTTTCCTAATAAGTCTTTAAGCCAGAAAAATGACTTTCATAATAGAGTTGAAGTATTTACAGAGGAGCACAGGAGACTAAACTGATGAGCAAAATTCCTTGTTCATGTGCCTGACAGAAGGTAAATTTTGAAATCACTGGGTACTTTGAACACTTGTTGTATCTGTACTTTGCTTACAGTTATAGGAAGATGCAAAAAAATGTAAATCACACTACTCAGAGAACTTAGAATCAAATTAGGATAATAGTTTCTTTATGTGGAAAAACAAGCAACTCTATCAGCCAATAAATTCAAAGACTGAAAAGTAACATTAACTGCTCCAAAACCTCAGAGGAAAAAGTGGTCTTTCTCTATTGGGGTGATGATTAAGAGGCTTTTGGGGTGTTACATGGTTTTAACTGTGCCTTAAAAATTGCAAGGCATTTGAATAGGTGGAAAAGAAAGAACAGATATTTGAGAGTTGAGGACAAGGTGTTCGTAAGACTGTGAAAACAGAGATGTGAATATTTTACATGTTTGGAAGGACACTGAATGGACAAGTATCACTGGAGGGTAGTTCTGTTGGGAACATTGATATATGGGGCAAGACAATTCAAATAAACCAGATCTTAAATTATATGAAATTTAGGAAATGTAGTTATATTTGATGGTGTTGAAGAATTTTCTTGGTAGAATGGTGATATCATGATTCCATTATTTTCTTAATAAACCACCTTTAATAAAAAGACATACAACTATGTTATATTTGGGGATGGTCCCAGAAACTTCAGGACAGTTTATTTAAATAGCAGGAAAATAACTTTAGGGTTGCTATTCTCTGATTTCTCAGAAGAAAAGTACTTCATAGCCCTATTTTAAAAGGGGATCCTTTGCTTTTAAAGGAATGTGCTGAAATACCTATAGATGAAATTATTTGAGGTCTGGGATTTATTTCAACAAATATGAGGTGTTGGTCAAAGATATAAAATTTCAGTTAGGAGATCTATGACTATTGCAAAGTATTATACACTTGACATTACTAAAACAAAATATATTTAAAATTTTCCCAAGACATACACACAACACACACACACACACACACTGCATGCTAAGATATGTTAATTAACTTGATTAAGCCATTCCATAATGTATACATATAAACCTCATGTTGTTTATATGTATAAAATGTGCAGTTTGGGTCAATTAAAAATTAATTAAAAGCAGTTTATATTTAAATGAATGAATTGCATGGCATGTGACCTATATCTCAACAAAACTCATAAAGCATGAGTTGAAAGCAAAAAAAAAAGAATCCAAAGAAAACAGGCAGAAGAATAGTTGGGGATATAAAAGAAACAATGTTAACTGTGAGTTAATCATTATTGAAACTGGAAGTAAACACACAGATATTAATCATACATCCAGGTAAGTCTGAATTTTCTATAATAAAAAAGTGAGGCATAGAACCAGGCAGGAAAGTGTGCATTTGTTTGATTCCTATTTTTCTTCCTCTACCATTCTTCTCAGTTATGGCTAGGCATCTCTCTGGAACCTGAACAAACAAACAAACAAAAAAGGGCAGTGACCATATCTAAAATGACTGCTGGGTCCCCAACAGCTACAGCCACCCACCTTTACACTGGGGAGAGTCACCCCAAGGACTGAGGCAGCTTCTCTAAATAAGTCTTGGAGCTTCTGAAAACTCAACTCCAAAGCTCTCTATGTGGGGATCCCACCCAGTGATATGGATAAGGCAGATGAGGAAAGAGTCTCACACATGCTTCATTGCATGTTTCAGAGAGTCAGCCATAACCCTCAGAGACATTTTAGCCCAACCCTTCATTTTATAGATGAGGACTCTGAGGCGGGGATCAGTGAAGTGAGATACCACAGTTAACTACATTGGTGGTCTCCCTTCCTCCCCAAGTGCTCTGAGGACCCCTCATCAGCTGGCCTCACGCTTTCCACTCTCTAAGCTACAGACCTCTCTAACATGGTCTCCAGATCACCTCTCCATAGTGAATCACACTGTGATTGTCCATTCTGAAGAACATGGCCCAAAGGGGTCCAACGTCTCCAGCAAAGCAGATTTTGGAAGAGTTCATTCCAAATAAAGCACAGAAAAATGAAATAAGAGATCTCTTGAAAAGTTCTCTGCAAAGAAACAAAGGATATGGTACCAATCACTTCATACATCCTGGCATCTGTCAAACTGGGGCTATTCAGTCTACTTTTGTAAAGATAAACTGCTATGGGAGAGGTGAGATTTAGCAATTCGTAACTCCACAGATAGAGTTGATATTGAATACCTAGGATAATGTGTGGATTCCTACTTAGTTTCGTACCATCACATCGGAATTATTTGCCTGTATTATTCTATTTATGTTCTCAGTATATTAAAATTTATCAGAAGCTTACTGATAACAAATTTTGTGTTGAGACATGCGTTCTTTGGATGATGAGGCAGTTTGGCAAAGGTGCTTCTGCACATACAGCAGTGCAAACACCCTTCTTCCTTGTTGTTTCCTAGACAAATACTTCCAGGGCCAGGCCAAGGGCTAGGGCGTTTCCGTTTCTGCTGGATCAAAAGCCATTGGTTCTTTCCTTCTCTACCATATGCATGGCTATTCAAAAACCCATGCAAAGGCCCAAGGTTCAATCCCCAGTACCAAAGGAAAAAAAAAAATCAAATGTAACTCATCTGAGTCTTTTCAGGTTCACCTCCACCAGTAATAAAGAGAGCAGGGTGAATATTTTATACTATCAGGGAAAGAAATAGCAAGTAAAATTATCTCCACCACATGGTACAAGTTTACATTGCTAACTTGCGTTGGCAGGGCCCAGCTGGGATGTACTTTGCTTTCTTTCCAGTGAGTAGAGCGTGGAGGCCTTGCAGGAAATAGAAGCAAGAAAATGAGCACATTTGAGCAGCTTGCACAAATGAAAAGTGCCTGGAAGGTGCATAAAGCCCAGGAGCACATGTAGGAGCTTGTTGATCAAAGCTAATTAAAATGTTCCCAGCTCTCCTCTTTATTTGCTCTCAAAAGGCAGCATTTCCAAGGTTGCTTAGAAGAGAATGTGGTAACCATGTTACAGAGTGAAAAGCCATAGAATTCCAGAGTGAGATGGTCATGTTCATTACCCCAATCCTGTTGATAGCTCATTGATGCTTTGCTGTTAGTAACCCAAAAAAGTTACCAAAATGAGTCAACACAATTTGTTATTCCATTGACAATCATGTATAAATTACATAATAAAGGAGTACTCGACAATGAATAACTAACTAAAATATTCTCTCTGAGATATCACTGTTTATAGAATTAGAGACTTTAATAGGAAAAGACCTTTAGATATGCATTTGGTATTTTTCTAACACAGCTGGTCCTATTATTTCTCTATTTGCAACCTCTACTTTCTGCATCCTTTGTTGATTTTATGCTTTTGCAACATTTACTCTTACCCCTAAGAAGGCTCTATGCCATGAAATGGAGCAGGTCAAAATTCTAAACACGATCCGGAGTCTCCACTCACCTTTTATGAAAGTTTGGGGTCCACAGCTCTATTTTCCAGGTCTTGCATTTATAATTATATGACAAACTGAGAAGTTTTTTACCTGCTTCACTTCAGGTATCTTAGCATCCTTTGGAATAACCCTCTTCCCAAGGGAGCTCATCTGAAAAGCTCAGTACTCCTAGAGGGGTGCCTGTTTTTTCCCCCACCCCCACATCCTGCCTATGGAATATGTGCATTGTTGTTACTTTTTTAAATTACAATCTTGTAATTTAAAAAAGTAACAACAGCCATAAAAAGAGGAAGCTTTGCCTAGAATTTTAGAAGCACTCATTTAAAAAAACGTCAGGTACTTTCAGGTAGACATAATTATCTTTATTTTAGAGCTGGGGCTCCTAAGATGCCCAGTTATCCTTAAGATGCTAAGTTCCTTATTCAGGGTCATATAACTTGCAACTGACAGAGCCGCAATTTCCCAAAGAACAGTTGATTCCAAATATCATGCCCCCGCCCTTGTTTTTCACTTTTTCATCACTGTGACCAAAATATGCAGCAAGAAAAACTTAGAGGAGAAAAATTTTATTTGGAGCTTATGGTTTTAGAGGTTTCGGTCCATAGATGGCCAACTCCATTGATCTTGGCCCCAGGTGAGGCAGGCATCATGGCAGAAGGGCATGACAGAGAAGCACTTCTTTGCTCATGGAAAGCTGGAAGCAGAGAGAGAAAGGGGAAGGTCTACAGGGAAGATTCACCCTTCCAGAGAACTTCCCCAGCGACCCACCTCATCCGGTCATTCCCCACCAGACTATAGTCTCCACCCAGTTAGTCCATTCAAACTGGGAAGGATGGTCAGCAGGAGGAGGGAGATGGAAGATAGGAGTTGCCAGTGATTTAGGAAGTCAGCCAACACTTGCTTCTTTCTCTTTTTTTGGAAAATTTTGTTTACTTTATCTATAGTGTTGCCAAAGAAAGATAATATACAAGATGACATCTAGAAACTGCCTTTTTAAAAAAAGTATGTATTCGGGCTAAACCCAAAGGCATTTTACCTTTTTACTTTTTATTTTGAGACAGGATCTCACTAAGTTGCTTAGGGCCTCACTAAGTTGCTGAGGCTGGCTTTGAACTTGTGTTCCTCCTGCCTCAGCCTTCCAAATCACTGGAATTATAGGTGTGCACCATCACACCCAACAGAAACTGCCTTTTAATCACTTTTCTCCTGATTTTTCTTCCCCTTGCTCCTCTCACTCTTCCTCCTTTTAGATTTTTATGGAATGGGGACTTAAATATTCACAACCCCAAAATACATAGTTTAAAGGATTTTCCAGACTTGGAAAATCCTTGCCTACCCTCAAGATATGATTCTTTATATTTATAGTAATCAAAACATCATAGTAGTGGGATTAAAAACAAAAACACATGTATTAAACAATGCAATAGGATAGGAAGATCAGAAATAAACTCACACCTCTCTGGTCAGTAGATTGTCAACAAAAGTGTCAAGAAAACATACTGGAGAAAATAAACAGTCTCTTCATTAAATGATTCAGGGAAAATGCAGAACCTCGTGACCTTTATCTTACAACATATACAAGAATCAATTCAAAATGGATTAAAGACTTCTGGCCTTAAATGTAAAGTCAGAAGCTATTAAACTGCAAGGAAAAAAAAAAAAAACACAGGGGGAAGCTCCCTGACATTGTTCTGAACAATGATTTCTTGGCTCTGACCCCAAAGCCCAGGCAACAAAGGCAAAAGTAGACAAATGCGATTGTATCAATCTGAAAAGCTTCTGGACAGCAAAGAAAAAAGTAGAATGAAGAGACACCTACACATTAAGAGAAAATATTTGCAAATCACACATCAGATAAGGGGCTCATATCCAAAATATACAAGGTCCTCAAAGTAGTCCATATAAGAAAACTAATTACCCTATTAAAAAATGGGTCAAGAACATTTCTCAAAAAAAATAAATAAATAAACATAGCCAGATATATTAAAAATGCTCAATGTCACTAGTCATTAGTCAAACTAAAACCTGAATAGGATATCACTTCACACCTGTTAGAATGGCTATCATCACAAAGACGAAAGCTAACAAATATTGACAAGAATGTGGAGGAAAAAGGACCCTTGTATCCTGATGGTGGTGGTGCAAATTAACACAGCCCTTGTGGAAAACAATATGGTAGTTCTACCATATGATCCAGCAGTCCCACTACTGAAATCTACCCAAAGGAACTGAAATCAGTATTTTGAAGATATGTCTGTATCCCAATGTCTGCACATATATGTGCATTTTGCAGTACTAATAGCCAAGAGGTGGAATCAGCCAAGGATGATGGATGAATGGAAGAAGAAAATGTGGTATATGTACACAGAAAGTACTATTCAGCCTTTTAAAAGAATGAAATTCTGTCATTCACAACTACATGAATGTTATGCTAAGTGAAATAAGCCAGATCCAGAAAGACCATGATCCACTTATAAGGGAAATTTTTAAAATGTCATACTCAGAAGCAGAGAGTAGAATGATGGTTACCAGGAGCAGGTGGGCAGGAAAAGGGTGAATGTTAGTCAAAGGAAACAGTTTCATTATGACAACAGGAATAAAATCTGTCAATCTACTGCAGAGTAAGGTGACCATAGTTAATAAAGATACATTGTGTATTTTTACACTTGATCTTAGCCAAAAGGCCGAGAAGCGATACATTGTGTATTTTTAAATTGCTACAAATGTGGATTTTTAAATGTTCTCACCACAAAACAACAATAAATATGCAAGGTGATGAATATGTTAATTAGTCTGATTGGTCATTCTAGAATGTATACATTGTCGAAACATCACATTGTATATAAATCACATAAATATATACTTTGTATCAATCAAAATTTCAGTCCCTGTATTTTGCCAGGTTGGTCTCAATTTCACACCTGGGTTAGCCTCATTTCTTTTTTCTTTCCCCCCACTGCAGTGTTTCTTATGTCAATAATGTGCATTATCAGCCAATCCAACACTGAGCTTAGTAACCACTTGACTTCTCTGCTGGGTTGTAGCATTTTGGAGTGAGATTCACAGTGTCTATTGAAATGTTAGATGAACAGGTCTAGAGCCCTGGAGAGAGACTTGAGCTAGAGACACAGAGGTTGGAGCCATCCCCTTATTGAAACCCTGAGAGAATAGGGAAAAGAGAAGAGGTGTTGATGTTGAAGTGATAAGTACATGGTATGGGTCACACCTTCAGCTATTATTTTATGGGCACCTGCTGAGAATAAAGCACATTGGTCTATATTGCTAGTTTAATTCATGATTCTACCATGTGATGATGGGTGTTGGGGAAAGCATGCCTGTTTCCCATCATAGAAATATTAAAATAAATATATCCCATAAATCTTTATAAATCTCCCCAGAAGAGGATCTCATGAAAATTGAAGGGAGATCAGTACAGGAGAGGAGAAGGGACCAAGGGAAGCTAGGAAGTGCAGGAGGGGAAAAACTGAGGAATGATATGGACAAAAATCGATTATATTAAATATGAATATTCACTATGAATGAATATGTATGAATATGTAACAACAAATCCTAGCATTATGTGTAACTATAATGCGCCAATAAAAAATATGGAAAAGAAGCTGGGGTTGTGGCTCAGTGGTAGAGCACTCGCCTAGCATGCACACAGCACTGGGTTCAATCCTCAGCACCACATAAATGTAAAATACAGATACTGTGTCCACCTAAAACTTAAGAATAAATTTTAAAAATGGGAAAAAAATCTCCTTAAGAGCCTTCTCAGTATAATTGGAGCCTCCTTTTAAAGCTCATGAAGAAAATTTTCTGTTTCAAAAAGGTAAAGACACATAATACTGTAATTGTCCTCCTTGAAAGCATCATGTACTTAAGTATATATTTTTAAATGTTTATTTAGGACTGGGGATGTAGCTCGCTGGTACTGAGCACCTGCCTGGCCTGCATGATGCCATGGGTTGAATCCACAGCACCACACACACACACACACACACAAAAAAAAAATTGATCAATTAATTAAATGTTATTTATTTACTTTTTTTTTTTTTTTTTTTTACTGTTTTAGTATTCCATCTGCAGTGAACCTCTAATAGAGCTGTCTAACCCTGGAGCCAGTGGATCCTTGTTTTTTGTGACCAGTGATGATGAATTTATCATCAAAACAGTTCAGCATAAAGAAGCTGAGTTCCTTCAGAAGCTACTGCCAGGCTATTACATGGTAAGCAACTGCATATAATTAAAACTTCAGTTTTAGGTTTCATTATTTCCTCAACAGTTTTTGTTGTTGTTGTTGTTGTTTCAGTCACTCCTTGGCATGCTTCTTTCTCTTTGGTGAACTTTATTTTGCATTTAGATTATGCTAACACATTCATTGAATCAAATTTTTTAAAGTGAACTAGAACTGTGTAGTGGAGCATAGTTGTTGAAGCTCACAGTCCTGGGCTCCAGTCCCAGCCCAGCCATCTACTAACTCAGTCAGTGAGGAATGGTACCTACCTTGCATAGTTATGGTGATAAAGGAAGATTCAAGAAGCTATGCACTTGCAAGCTCTGAACCCATCACATAGCAATAATATGAACAGCTAACATTCATGTATTACGTCGTGTGTGTTAAGTAAGGCTTTAAGTGTTTGGGGGTCATTAATTCATTTAATCTTCATAGCAACTTGGGCATCATATCTGTCTCCTTTCTATAGATGAGGTCATTGAGGCAAAGATAAATTGGTAATATAGCAAGGGTCATTCAGTTAGAGAGCTACAGAGCTGGGACTGTACAAACAGAAACTGCATTTTAACCCCTATACTATGCCCCAGCAACTGCTCTGTATTAACTATTCTTAGCTGCTTCACTTCAGAAGTTAGGATCACATAGTTAAACATGGAACATGAAAAAATTACTTTCTTGAAACATTTTAGTAACAAATGAACAATGACTTTGCCCAGATGGATTCAATAGACATTTGGCCTAATTTTGGAAGAATAAACACTTTTTCTAAGTATTTCCGTCTTTTTAAGACCTCTGATTTCATTGTATCTTAATGCCAGTCATTAAATTCCTGTGATTGGAATGGCTAGATGAAGACAATTGACGTCAGAAGCCTAGTTCTGCCATTCACTTGCTCTGAGAGGCAATAACTGTCTTCTTTGTTTCCAAACAAAATGGATGAGATGCTACACAGCTCATTTGCTTGCAAAAATATTATTGTAATTCCAAAATCTGCTAGAGATGGCATGAAATACAGTGAATTAATCTCTTTTGGAATTACAGAAATCAAAATTCTAAATAAAAGTTATAGTGGACAGGATGCAGATTTTTAAGGGTTTTGGTCCTGAACAAGTAATTTCTTTTCTTTTATTCCTTAAGAGAAAATAGAAAAATACAGAAAAGAAAAAATATATAAGCAACTGGAATTCCTTTGCCACAGATGCATATTATTATATTTGATGCATATGCCTTTAGATGTATTTTAAAATAATCAAACTGGTGGCTGGGATTGTAGCTCAGCAGTAGAGCACTCACCTAGCATTTGCAAGGCCTTTGGTTCAATCCTCAGTACCACATAAAAATAATTAAATAAAGATATTGTGTCCAACTACACCTAAAAAATAAATTAAAAAATAATCAAACTGACCACACTCTCTGATAACCTACTAAATGAGCAAATCTTAAACTTCTATAGTAATTCTAAGCTTAGATATACTATTCCCTTATTTTAGAACTATATTATCTAATATATAAACACCATTAGCCATATGTGACTATTGAAATTTAATTAAAATTAAATGAAACCTTAAAATTTAGCTGAACAAATGGTTTTATCCCCATCATAAAAGTAATATACAACAAGCAATATAATTCATCTGTTACCAAGAAAAAATGTGAACATCATGTGATTAACCAAATAGATGTTAAGGAAAACTTAAGAGCCCCAAAAGTAAACATTTTACATACAAATCTTAAAATTAGCAGGGAAGTTTTTTAACATAGTAAATAAATAGATGAACACACATATTGTACATGTCTCTAAGAGTTCATATTACAATCTCTTAGAGAAAAGCAGGTTCCTTTCTAGAAATAATAGAAGACAAGGATGTTCTCCGACAGTCGTCCGTCCTTATACATTTGCTCAAAATTCTGGCAATGACTTCTTGAAAGTCACTGAAATAGAAGAAAAGAATAATTTCTGTTCTTTGTAAATAACAAAGTTGAAAATGAGCAGAACTTCAACAAAACAAACCAGAAATTTCTAGGGGTAATAGGAGTCATGCAGATTTGCAGGATATAAGATAAGTATATAAAAACCCATTGTATTCTATTATATAGATGATATAAAGCTGGATAATATAAAGGAAGAAAGGAGTTCCTGTTCATGATGACAATAATTTATAATGAACATTATTTTTAAAAATAAATATGTAAATAAATTAAAACATACTATAATTGTGATTGGGAAAACAAGCTTTAATAGGCATAACATATGAACTATAATCTATTCAGAAATAATTTTTGTTATAAAGAGAAGAACTCTAAAATACTTGAGTTTATAAAAACAAATACACAAAACCGATATGAAGAAAGCTACAAAAGTATTTTAAGGACATATAAAAGATCTGCCATAATGAAGAGATATACAGATAATCCTGAATTTATTATTGTAAAGATTTCTCTTACCTCCAAATCAACTTATAATTCTAATCTACTCCAATCAGAAATTCCCCAGAACTTGACAAAGTTGATTCTTTGAAAAAGAAAGCAGGTATCATTTTAAGAAAAAAAATGTTTATAAATGAACAGTTGGATGGAAAGTTTCTAAGAATTAACAAAACATTTTTCAAGAAAAGAAAAAGAAAAATGATGGGCCTGCCATAATACATACATCAAAAATCTATAAGGCTGTGAGTAATGTTAAAGATGTGGTATAACTATAGTTCAAGGCAAATGGGTCAATAGATAGCATGAAGTGTCCAGAAGTAGACCCATGTGTCTTTGACTTACTGTATTGACACAGGAGAAACTTACACTCAATTGGAAAAGGGTCACTCTGTTCAATAAATGGTTGTCCACTTTGAGAAAAGAATTACATTCCTTCTCTCAGATCTTTGAACACATACAAAATTCATCCCATGTGCAGCAAAGACCAAATGTAATGACCAAAACTATTAAAAATTGGGAAGAAAATAGAAGTTTATAGCCTTAGGGTGTAAAAATGGTCTGTTAAGCAAAAATTTAAAAATCTCAGAAAATTAATACATAAATGTGACTACATCAAAGAGCAAAACATCAATATAACAAAAATAACAGACACAGAATTAATGTAAGCCCACAGAATATTTCTGGAATGATATATAAAGAAAGCTAGAATAGTGATTTTCTCAAATGTTGGAAACTAGAAGGAGCAGAATCAGAGACAACAGGGCAACTTTTTATCATATGCCCTTTAAGAAGCTATTTTAATTCCTTACCTACTTTTAAAGTACATCAAAAACAGTCATCTGATAGTCCACAAAGGTGCCAGAAACATTTGCTGGAGAAAAGATACCCTTTTTAACAAATGGTGCTGGAAAAACTGGATATCCATATGTAGAAGAACAAAACTTGACCCCTTCTTCTCATCCCTCACAAAAGTCAACTCAATGTGGATCAAAGACCTAGGAATTAGATCAGAAACTCTGCAACTGCTAGAAGAAAATATAGGCTCGATGCTCCAACATATTGGCACGGGCATTGACCTCCTTAATAAGACTTAAGTATAAAAATTAAAACTAAAAATCAATAAGTAGAATTGCATCAAATTAAAAATCTTCTGCAAAATAAAGGAAACAATTAAGAGCATGAAGAGAGAGTCTACAGAATAGAAGATCTTTGCTACCTGCTCCTTAAGTAGGGGATTAATATCCAGAATATATAAAGAACTCAAAAAACTTAAAGCCAAAGAAACAATCCAATTAATGGGCAAAAGAACAAAACAAACATTTCTCAAAAGAAGAAATACAAATGGCCAACAAGTATATGAAAAAATGTTCCACATCTCTAGCAATCAGGGAAATGTAAATCAAAACTGTACTGAGATTTAATCTCAGTCAGAATGGCAATTATCAAGAACAAATAATTATAAATGTTGGCAAGGATGTAGGGGAAAAGGTATACTTACATATTGTTGGTCGGACTGGAAATTAATGAAAACACTCTGAAAAACAGTATGGAGATTCCTCAAAAAGCTATGAATGGAACCACTTCATGACCAAATTGTCTCACTCTTCAGTATATATCCAAAAGACCTAAAATCAGCATACTGTAAGGATGCAGCCACATCAATGTTTATAATGTTTATAGCAACACAATTCAGAATAGCCAAGCTATAGAACCAACCTAGGTGTATGTCAACAACAGAATGAATAAAATGTGATGCATATGCACAAAGAAGTATTACTCAGTCATAAAGAAGAATGAAATTATGGCATTTGCCAGTGAATGGATAGATTGGAGAACATGATGCAAAGTAGAATAAGCCAGACCAACAAAGTCAAGGTCAAAATTTTTCTCTGATATGTGGAAGTCAAACCAAAATAAGAGGGGAAAAAGAAAATGAAAAGTAGGGGGAGATTCCATGAAATTAGAAGAAAGATCAGTGGAGTAGAAGAAGGGAACTAAGAGGGAGGCAGGAGGGACAGGAAAAGGGAAGAACAATGGAATGAGTCTGACCAGGCTTTCCTGTGTACATATATGAGTATACCACAATGAATCCCACCTGCATGTATATCTACAAGACGCTCATTTAAAAAAACTTAAATAACTAGAAGAAAGATCAGTTAAGTAAAGGAAGGGGGAAGAAGGGGATGGAAGTAGGGATGGAAAGGGAAAGTGTTGGGGACTCATTTAGAGCAAATTATATCCCATGCTTATATAACTATGTAAAAGTAAACCCTAATATTATATATTACTAAAATGAATAAGAAAGAAACCATAAAAATAGGTGTATATTCTTAATTTTACAATAATAAAAAAGACAATAGGAGAAAATATTTATACCATATAGTAGAAGAAAACAATAGAAATCCAAAGTGTATCAAGAACTTCAAAAGTAACCCAAAAAAAAAATCCAGAAAAATGAGCAAAAGGCTATTAATACAAAATTATCTTCATGGCAGCTAAAAATACATCAAAATATTAAATTTCTATAATAATCAGGGGTATTTAATTTTTTAAAACAAGTTTCCAATTTTTACCAACCATGCTTATAAAGATGTTAGGGTTCCATAATATTCAGTACTGGTAAATGTGGTGGAAAATGTGTCATCTTACACAGTGTGGTTGTAAATTGGTCTCACCATTCGGCAAGACAGTTTTGGAGGAGCTATTAAAATTTAAAATGTTCGTTTCTTACACCCCAGTGATTAATTTTCTCTTTAACCACCTTAGAATAGTCATTCCTACCTAGTACTCATCAATTTTTTGCCTGTATTTAGTTGGAACTAATTTAGGACATTATGTCCATTTTTAATTCAGCCACTTTTACTGCTCTGAGCTTAGAATGGCACAGCTGCTATTTCAATAAGCAGACTTAAGAAATAAATGAGAAACAATGAAATTTTAGCAATGGATATTGGTAAAGATCATCACATTCCATTTTCAGTTATATTAGCATGAAAACACACCTTTCTTTAATGGAGCATTATTTTGTAAAAATAGAAACTTATAAATATTCTTTTCACTTTTCTGTTTCTAGAATCTAAACCAGAATCCAAGGACTCTTTTGCCAAAATTCTATGGACTCTATTGCATGCAGTCGGGGGGGATCAACATCAGGATTGTGGTGATGAACAATGTCTTGCCCCGCTCCATGAGGATGCACTTCACCTACGACTTGAAAGGCTCCACCTATAAGCGAAGAGCATCCCGGAAAGAGAGAGAGAAATCCAACCCCACGTTTAAGGATTTAGATTTCCTGCAAGACATGCACGAAGGGTTATATTTTGATACAGAAACGTACAACGCGCTCATGAAGACACTCCAGAGAGACTGCCGGGTAAGGAAGCTCATTGCTGTGATTTCCTTGGAAAAGTCGCCTGTGGTCATGTAACTTTGGGCTGCCACTTACCAAAAGCATAGAAATAGGGAATGTCCATAATGGACATGTGGAATCCCAATTTACCCAATCCTGGTGCTGATTCCTGCTTCTGATATTGAAGGAAATGATAGATGATAAGAGAATCACATTGAATCTTTTAACTCACATCTCTGTTGATTTTCATAGTAAGCTAAGTCAGCTTTCTTTGATCAAAATGAAACAAGAAAGCTTTGCTTTATTTTCTTTTCTTCCTCCCCTATGGGAAAGGTAGTTTAACTAGGAACAAATGAAATTTAGGTCTAATGCAGTGACTAGCAAGAAAAGCCATGTACAAATCTTGAATGAAGAGGCAAGCTTAAAGAAAATGTACTCAGTGGGATTAATGGATGGCTCCTTGGAGATCCAGTGTGAATGCAGAACCATGATGTGTACAGCGTATTTGCTGGCATCCTTTCTGAGGTCTGAGTAAGAGGTGTCAGGAATGACACTTGTCAATCAGGGCAAAGACCAATTTCTGCAAGCTTAACCTGAGTGACTGTCAAAAGTAAGGGGGAATTCCCCAGCCTTTAATGCTCTGGGGAAAAAGAAAAAGAGGAAAGACCAAAACCTTGAGAAAGCTTTTCTGACATGGCAAAATTAGGTCAAAGTTCTTTGGGGTGGGGGGGGGTAGAAATGCAATCCTAGTAGCTTCTGAAGGATGGTTGCCATTTAATTAATAAACCCTCGGAAATATAATTTCCTGGCCCAGATCATTGCTGTGATTTCCTTGGAAAAGTCACCTGTAGTCATGTAACTTTGGGCTGCCACTTACCGAAAGCATAGAAATAGGGAATGTCCATGATGGACATGTGAAATCCATGTAGGAGGACCGTGCAGGCCACTCAGATAAGTGGCACATAGTGGGAGTGGACAGAAACCAAGATGGGGCAGAGTGGGGCCAAGGGCTGACCAAGGCTTTCTGGAGAAGTGATACAATCAACAAGCCTGGCCACTAGGAAATATGGGGTGTATTGGTATGTTTTCCGGGTTGTGGCTTTTTGGGCCTCCCATGAGTCTGGGAATGTGGCCCAGGATGTTGCAGGGGGAGGAGGACACCTCTCTGCCAGACCAAGCTCACGCAAAAGCCAGCAAAACTCTCCAACCACCCCATCGAATATAGAGGAGGCTCCCTAAGGATCCCAGTCCTACTGTTTGGGGGTTTTTACTTTCTACCTGTTATAGCATGTATGATAAATACATACATAAACACAAAAAAATGTGATTTAGAATTGTTTCTTCACTGAAGTTGTTATGCCACAGCTCCTATTATTCAGATACTGTTTATTGAAGACCACAGTGTGCCAGCAGCCCAAGACTGCCTACTGCACATTGCATTCAGTTCTCCCAGCACCCCTTAAAGTCACGCTCCCATTTTCATTGCTGAAGATTCTTAAAAGAGGTTGAGAAACTTGTCTAGTGTTCCCTAGCAAGTCAGTGACAGAGTCTACATCTGATTGGGTACCAAGCATATGCTCTTAGCTGAAGCTTAAAGATTCACTATGTAAATCTTTTTATTATTATTCTGTTTTCAGAAGTCAGAGAGGAACAGTGGGAATCAAGCAAACAAAAAAATGTCCAGCAGAGCCATTTAAATATCTGGGTGATTCATGTTTTTCTTTAAAAACAAAACAACACACACACACACACATACATTTTAATAGAAATTTTCTTTCCTGTGTTTTTTATACCCTTACAGGATGTGGGTGAAAAGTGATCCTCAATTCCCCAGAGCTCAGTCCAAGCCTGTCCACTTTTAGATTTGCTCTGTGTGTGTGTGTGTGTGTGTGTGTGTGTGTGCGCGCGCACATGCTGTGTGTCTTGCCTCTTTCATACTAAAAGCCTTTTTCTGCTGTCTTCTAGTATCACATGATTCCATGGGAGGCGGGGGGTGGGGGAGAGGTCAAATGCAAGAGCTGTTGTTCAGGATTTGTCTGTTTATAGTGTTTCCTGAACCCAATACTGAAAGAACAAGGTTAAACAGGACTTTTCAATTGGTAATAAGACCCTGGAGAGTTGCCTATTTTATTTCTTTGGCACATTTATTGTTCCAAGGAACATAAAGATCAGTGTAGAGGTATCCTGAGGCTAACTCTTTCTCACTGGTTGCATTTGATCTTGTATAAGACATAGCTCATGGAACTTCTTTTAATTGCACATAGCATTTACCTTCAGAATGGCTTTTCTCCCTGTAGTATGGAAATGTGTAAATGCTGAGCTGTCAGGAACCTGACTCCTGTCCCTCATCCTGCTTGTCCATAACCAACCCTCTGTGATCAGGAGTCAGCAGCTGGTTCTGGGAGCAGAGCTACACTGAGCAACACATGATTCTGCAATGATGGGTCTTACTGTTTAATAGTCATGGATCACTTTTCACACCTGATGAATACTGTGAACTATCTTCCCAGAAAAAAAAAAAAATGCCCATCAATACAGTGGTTCATGAAGCATTGGAGTTCATCACCCTTTCTCATGTCTGTCCCCCCTGGGCTGAGATTCCACATCCAGGAGCAGCAGTCATCTCTCTTTTTTCAAGTAATCCTCTGAAGGGCCAACTCCCTGGATGGCTGGAAGAGGGGGTATGGTTTGGGCATTGCCAGAGCATCCCTCCCTCTGATATTGCCCTCACTTTGCAGCACTGAGCTGTAGTGAGCTGAGGGATCCAGGGAGACTGGGGCTGCTACTGGCAGCAAACACTGGGAATCTGTGCTGTTAAAATTCCTCTAAGAGCTGGTTGTGGTGGCACACACTTGTAATCCCAGTGGCTTAGGAAACTAAGGAAGGAGGATTGTGAGTTCAAAGCCATCCTCAGCAACTTAGTGAGGCTCTAATCAACTCAGTGAGACCCTGAGTTAAATAAATACATAAAGTAAAAGAAATAAAATATATAAAAGGGCTAGGGATATGGCTCAGTGGTTAAGTGCCCTTTAGTTCAATCCCTGGTACCCCCCCCCAAAAAAAAAATTCTCTTAAGACTCCAGAAACAAACCAGCCAAGGGAATGCATTACTGTGTCAGCATGCCAGCAAGAGAAAGGTGAGCTAGACGTATATCAGGATATAGCCTTTTATTCACTTATCAGACAAGTATTACAATTAGACTACGTGCCAACATGAGGCAAATGACCTCCATGTTTCTGATCAATTGCCTGCAGTGTATTGCATGCAATGACACTATTATATTCTAAGGATCAGAGTAGATAACATCAGAGCTGGATTTTGAAGCATGAGAGGAGTCTCCAGGTAAGCAAAGCAGTAGAGAAGCCTATTTGTAAGAGAGAACAATGTCAGTTGGGCACGAAATAGCCTGACATGTTCTAGGAACTATAGTTCTTTGGTGTTGAAGCAGTTAATAGTTGGGGAGAGAAAAGTGGCTAAATAATGTCAGAAGACCCTTTTTGAGGGTGCCAACATCCTCTTAAGGGCTTAAAAGTAGCAAATCCGAGGATCCCAGACCTTTGGACTCCAGCTTTTCTGTTGTTCCCCAGACAGATACGTTAAGCTTCCTAACCTCTTGCCGACCTCCCCCTGCTTCCTGCCCACCCTCCATCTCCTCTTTCTTATTCTGGCTTGCTGTCTCAGACCTTGTGATTCCCTGTCCCTTAGCCTGAGAGCTGTCCAGAAGATCCCTCATGACTCACTGAGCCAGCTCATGTTCCCTATTCTCCTTGGACTGCCTCCTGATTCCCATCAGAGCTGCTGTTTCTAGACTCTGCATCAAAAAGGATTGCTCAGCCTCATCCCGTAGTGAGACATCTCTACGAGTGCCATCCTCTCCCCATAGCCCCCTGGTGTCTTCACCTGGCTTCTCCAACCCACTGGTGAGCACTGTGTATAAGCCAGTCCTTGTGGTGCTCCATCCCTGGCCAGCTCTCACACATAGCACTAATGAAGAACTACTCCAGAAAACTGATCTTGTTTTTTGCTTCAATGCTGCAGAGCCCAGTTCCCAACAGGCATCAAACAATGGGATATTTTCAAAGGAAGGTTCCTGATCTTGGGTTCTCCCCAGTTTCCACTTTGATGCTTCCTAGTCACTGTGCCTGGAGGAAATGGATATAAATAATTGTCCCCTCCACCTGGTCTTCAGACACTTCTATCTGTCTGCTGCTGTGATGGCCATCCACAGTCACAAGTGAACTTGGCTCAGGAGAAAGAGCGGTAACAATGGCAAGTACAAGAGCATCAAGGTCACTTGCCATCACAAACAGGGAGTAGGATTTATCCAAATCATTCCCTGTGATTCCAGACAAGCTGAGATGCACATCCTGTTTGAAAACTGCTCTTCCCAGGTGTTCTGTCATCTTCCCCCAAGCCTCTGCCTCTTCCTGTCTTCCTGACCCAGAGAACATGAGCATTGTGCAGCCAGTTGCCCTAATGAGTGCTCTAAAGGTACCCTTTTCTCCTTCCTCTCCCTCTTTTTCCAATGCAGTAAACCATCATCTCCCATCCGTCTTCTCCTACATGACTAGTGGACCTGCCCCTCTTCACTGTGTGCATAGCTATTTCCTTTATTGAGACCCTGGTTGTTCATCACCTGGAGTTTTGAGTGGCCTTTTCACTGGTTCTCAGTGTCGTTGCTTTCCAACTCATCCCCACCACTGATGCCAGAGTGACCCTCTGATCAGAAGACAGCCAGCCTCTTGCAATTCCCTGGCCAAGGTTCCCCACTGTCTTCTGGCTAAAGCTGGGGCTTCTTAGCTTGGAACAATAAGATACTTCCTGATCTGGTCCTTGCCACGGTTTCTGATGCTTCCTTCAGCTTCCTTCTTCAGCCTTCTCTCTCCTGGAGCATCGCTATTCTGATCTATTGGCCATTCTCCAAAAGTATGGGCCTTTCTGCATGTTTCACTCTGCTCAACCATTTTCCCCTCTTCTACCGCCCTCACCTACTCATCTCAGAACTACTCGGGTATCTCTTCCT